GTAAAAAATATAATGGTTTAGATTTGTATAACTAAAATAGATCGCTTTATAAAAATTTTAAAAAAATTATAATATTAAATTAAACTATTTAAATTAAATCAATATTGTTTAGACTGATGATAAAAAGACTTATTAAATTATTTTATAAATGTTTATTTTTTAATATAAAGTTAAACTGTTTAGATTGATGATCAGATTTATTATAATATATTTTTTATATTTTTTTATAAATTTTTATTTTAATAAATATAAAATAAAAATAATAAAATTAAATTTAGATCATCTAAATTAATTTGGACAGTTTAAATTTGCTCTGTAGTGTAGAGGAGCAAAGGGGGAACGACTTTGCGTAGGAGCAAAGCTGACTCCAATAATTACTTGTCTGTATAAATGAAAAAGTAACTTTATATAAAATCTATTTGGATTCATCACATTTAACTTTTTAAAAAATACATTTTATATTAATATAAAAGTTAAATGTTATTTGATTATTTTAAAATTATTTAAAATGACTTTTTAAAAACACATTCAAAAGCAATTAGAATGTGGATTTGCCCACATAACTTAGTAAAATTTTTTAAAAGCACGTTCACATTTCACATTTTCTTCGATCAAATTGCCAAGTGACCCATTGGCATGTGATGTGATGATTTGTTTTGTTCAATTATACAGCACTACACGAGCAACAATTATTTTGGACTAGCTTGGTTTCTTTGCAATTTCCTTTTACTGTGCTTCCACTCTAACAATTAGATACTAAATGACTTCTATGCTAACAATTTTGTCCCTACGCTTTACTTTAATATCAAATTATTTTTTTATTTTTCTTTCTCTTATCTCCTGGTTCAGTGTTTTTTTTTTTTGGCATTTTCATCCTTTATTTCTTTTTCCATTAATTTCTCCTAGTTAAGTGATAAATTTTTATTAAAATTAATTAAATAAGTTATTAATAATTATTGTATTATATATGTATATTACTCATTTATAATTTATACCTAACATCTGAGGAATATGTTAATTAATACTCTATCCATCTAAATTTACAAAAATTCTTTTTCTGCAAAATTACACATATAAACAAAGTTTATTAAATACAATTTATAATCTTTATTTTTTTATAAGACATTTTAATCTAATATGAAGCATTTGTATAACAAGAATTAGAAATAATAAAAATCAATGGCTTTTTTTTATAATTGTACATTTAAAAACACATTTCATTGTATATAATTCAAACAACTTTCAATTTATTAAATTAACTTTTGAAAAATGTATCCAATATAAATTTTATTATAATAAGTGACTTTAACTAAATTAATTTTTGTTAATTGAACTTTCACCAAATTAATTTTTGACAAACTGAAAATTAAAAACACACATACTCCCTCCGTTTAAAAATATAAAGCATTTTTAATTGAATCTCACCCTCCAATAAAGTAGTTACTTGCTTTTCAACTAACCTTATCTTTTCATATTTACTTCTATTAAATACCCTACAATAAATATAAAGTCATTGTTAATAAAAATATTTTTGAAAAAAAGACAATGATTACATCTCGAAAGACTAAAAATGTATTACATTTTTGAACATTTAACTCCTCAAAAAATATCTTACATTTTTAAACGAAAGGAGTATTTAGTTATTTGATATTTACTATTGGATTATAATATTATTGAGATCAATTGAAAATAATTTTTAAAGGGAGATTTTTCTCATTCATTCACATGAATTTAAATGTGAAACCTCATGCGATAGATTGTTTTACTATAGAAGTCTAATTTAAAACTAATTGTATCCGGTGAAGGACTACGAAGAATTTACCTTGCAATTTGTAATGTTATAATTAATGTAGGGTGTGCATCTTATTGTGTGCTCACGCGATAATGCTGCGTTGAAATGATATCTTTAATCTGAATTGACTATTCAGCGAGGCTGTAAATAACCATTCAAATTCACATACAACCATATGTAAAAGAAATTAAAAAAAAAATGGATATCAGTTCAATGTATATTTAATATATATATATATATATATATTATTCAACATATATAATTAAAAAATGTCGCATAATATTGAAGTCAAGAACATTTCAGCTTTATTTAAACTGCATACACATGAACTCCACATTTAATTAGTTATAATAAATAATAATAGTGATACAAAAATGACGCGACCAAGATTACTTTAGCAATATACGTGCAGAAAGCTTCCGGGAATTGCACGATATAGCAGGGAAAGAACGAAGAAAAAGACCCTTCATATTTTACATTATCACATATCGGTCACATTAATCCAACTACAGGGACATCTCTTTTTTAAAAGACGACTTCTTCGCAACGTGTTCACTGGGTATGAAACCCTACAATCTATTCTGCAATCGTATCATATTGACCACACACAGCTTGGGTCTTCCACTAACTGCAATAAACATAGGAACCTGGAATTTTATATGACTTTGATTCCACCATGCGCACGTTTGACATGTTGCCAAGATATTTTTAAAAGGAATCGAATGAGAAAGTGAACAAGAAATTGCCAAATTGGCCCCAAGCGAACAAGATGTTTGGCATGTAAAGAAATATCATTACATACTCTGTTTGATTAATATGCGAGTTAAACTTAATGATGATTAAAAAGAGTATCCTTGGGGGGAAAAATGATACTTAAAGGTACAGAGGAGAGAAATGAGAGGCGATAGAGGAGGGAGAGATGAAGGGCAAGGGCAAAATGGTCAGGAAATTTTGATTCTTCAAGACCATGCATAGTCGACTAGCAGTCTATTGCCCCCATGTGGAATTGGATTCCACGCACCTATATATTTTGGTGGAAGCCGGTTGGAGTCCTGCTTTATCACATAACAACCAATATATAAACACACGCGCATAGGATGGTTTTCCAATTCCTGTCAAATGGGGCATAAAACTTTGTACTTTTAGTGCCACTTCAAAGCTGGAAAAAATGGTGCATTATCCTCAGGTATCATTGTTGTGCCAGAAAGATCCCAAGATATATGAATTGGAAGAAATTAGCACGAACGACTTGAGGTTGTGGTAGAAAAGTGTGGAACATGCCTAATGCCTTTCTTGTGGCGTTTCATCACGGCCAAGAGTCATATTCTCTTAGAATTACAATATCATATTACTTGACTCGCTAATACAAGTACATTTTGCTGTCTTATTGATCACCACGTACTCCAGAGGGAAACTTCTCGCTTATTCATAATGCTTTTCTGCTTTGTTCATTTTCTAAAGTGTTTTTAAGACTAAGCTTAGACTGAGAATAGTCTAAGGACAAAAGTTATTGGGCGGAGGAGAAAATTAAAAGCTAACATGGAGCGTTTAATTAGAGCAAAGCAAGTCATATTATTGCACTGCCGTCCTTACAGTGAACATATCAATCATGCCAAATAGAGCGTGATAACTTCAGATATTGAACAGCATTTTCAAACTTGAAAGCCATGTGTTTTGTTCTTCTCTTTTGTTTTTGAATGAAAGAAATATGCTCCCCGAAAATTTTATTCAAAGCATGATTGGATATTAAGGGCTTATTTGTTTTCTGTTTTTAAAACTATTTTTTTATTTTTGAAAACAGAAAAATTTAAAAATTTGTTTGGTTAAATGTTTTTAATTTAATTATTTTTAAAACTTTTTTCATTTTTTAAAAAAAACTAAAAAAATAGAAACAACTTCAAGTTGTTTTTGTTTTATTTTTCTTGTTTTTAAAATAATATGCATTTAATTATTAAAAATTATAATTACTTTGATCAATTTCTATAATAAATCATCACCATTAACCACTTATAACTATCACCATCAGTATATTTTTTAATTTAAAAATAATTTTTAAATTAACATAACCAAACATATTTTTATTTTATTTTGTTTTGAAAAATAATTTTAAAAATTTTATTATAAAACAATTTTTAAAAACAAAAAAAAAATTGCTACCAAACAAACCCTAAATGTCTGAATATTATTTTTTGCGTTGTGAGTAACTAGCTATTTCATTAAACTGAACTCTTATTGATGTATAAATTAGTTTATAACTTTATATAAAGTAGGTAATTTATTTTTATAAATAAAAACAGATGGATTATATAATAACAAATATGATTACGTTTTAATTTGCACAAATACAAAAATAGAACTCACAGGCACGCCAAGGTTAAAAAAACTTCTTAAGGCCTGTTTGGATGCCTTTTTAGAATCAATTCTAGGTTCAAAATTATAGTTTTAAAAAATTTTATCCAAACACCTCACTTTTTCCAAACTCCATTTAGTTTCCAAAACTCCATTTGGAATAAGCTGAAATTTGTTCCATTTTGAAAAATCAATATCATAATCAATTCTTGAAATTTTATTTAAATACCATCACATTCTAATAATCAATTTTTTTAATCAATTTTTTTCAATTAAAATCCAAACACACCCTTATATGTTTCGTCAACGCCAGATTTCGTGCATGTATGTATGTACATGCAAACATGGACATGTAGTATGCATTTTCAGGAAAAATAAAAATGGATGATTTGTAGATAAAATTGAGTTCCGGTACACTAAATAATATATTTAGTGCTACTCTCTCTATATATAAATGTAAAAAAGTAATTTGCCGTTCGTGTCAAAAAGTGTGCTCCTTGTAAAAAGTTTTATACTATCATATGAAAAAAAGAAAATTTCGTTCCTCGTTTCTTGTTTTTTTCCGCTGTAGTGACTCAGGGTTCGTTAATAACTGGGTTGATGAATGTTTACTTTTTCAAGCTTCCAAATAATCGGCCACAACTTGAAGAATCATTCAGATCTTTCATGGTCGACTTTTCAAATTTGATCATCTGTTCCGCTGAAGCGCATTAATCTCTCACCCACTACCACATATCTCAAAGGAAAATAGACAATATGTAACAGACACAAATAGTTGAATTTATTCCATACTTTCATATCCTGCATCTTTACTTTGTTATTACTGCAAATTGCAATAAATGAATGACCCTCAGCAAAGTCCAAAAAAAAAAAATATTATTTCTAAGAAACAAGAATGTTAATTACATGCCCATTACTTCTTTGTGAGTGTCTTACTATTTAATCTCACTCTATATTTTAAGCTTTTAACGAAAAGGTGGTGAAGGTTTACAAGTCAATGAATGACTGTAGCTCTTGGATGGACAAAAATAGCCTCCTCTCTCACTAGAAAGTAGAAATAGATGGATGACACAAAGGCCCACTAGGAGCATATATGAAAAGTTCAGAACGTCAACTCTGTCGAATCCCCTGATCTGATGAATACGTCGTACCAGAAATCCATTCCATCGTCAAAGTTTATACTGTTATACCCGCAGCCTTGCTGGAATGATTCCACAGGCTCAAATGAGCATTGATGATGAGCTGGTAATTCATTGTTCATGGCGATGCTATTGTCATCCATTGCAGCTTCTGACCAAAAGCTTTCTTCAATTTGAGGCAATATAGGCTCCAGAGAGTCCATGTCTTCACTCTTGATGCACATATTCATGCCATTGCTTTCTCTTAGTGTGAATACTGAGGATAACAGATCACTGGAAGAAGTAGACGATGATGAAACTGATTGAGTGGTCACAGTGCTGGAACTGGAAACAGATCGTTTAATTAAATGAGGTTTGGAGCCTCTGGTTTTGGTTTCTGAGTTAATGAGCTGATCAGCTTGCTTTGTTTTTTGAAGCCTCTTCTTCAAGTGGGTATGCCAAACATTTTTTATCTCGTTGTCTGTTCTTCCTGGTAGCTTCGCTGCAATGGCTGACCACCTAGATAACAAGGACAAGAGTTTTTAAGACATATCAGTGAAAGACAAACAGGGTTGTCGTATTTCTAGGAATTTACTAATATTATCTTGTGCACATTGGTATATAGCTGCTAGCTGCATGTGACCTACATATATACACACACAATGCCTCGCTGAGTGTGGTGAAAATCAGATCTATGAATCAGAGAATCTCGCAGCCTGGTTACTTGTTTATATCGAAGTATCAAGTGGCAGCAGAGAGCTCGCCTAGTTTTCCTCACAGTTAAAATGGGTCTAGTCGCCATTATAGAAAAACTTTATGAGAACGGTCCCTTTCTTTTTAATTAATATTTTTCTGGAAGTTGACAACTAATGGAGGCCAGTACGTAGTCCCCGCCACTATATCCTTTCTTTTGCTATATATTGTTATTTAAGACAAAAAAAAAAAAACAAATCAAGTTTCTGAAACTGAATCTCCAATGACAATTTCCTTCAACTAAAGATTGAAGAAGAATCACTAAGCAGCATATCCTTTTTCATCTTGGAGAAGTGGAGTTGTAGGATGAATATATCAACGTTTATGTTGTCATCGGTCAATCAGAAGGCATATAGATCAGTAGGGAATAATGTATACCTGTTGCCAAGCATCTCGTGCAGCTTAATAATAGTTTCTTCTTCTTCAGCCGTGAAGTTTCCTCTCTTTATATCTGGCCTCAAATAGTTGATCCACCGTAATCTGCAACTCTTCCCACATCTTAAAAGACCTGAGGAATTCACCGGACAACCATCACCACACAGAGAAACTAAACTTGCAAAACAGTGATAAAATTACAAAGAACATGAACATATTCAAGAAGGACATGTAAAACTCGGGAGTATTTCATTTCCTGTGTTTCCGTCACTCTTCTGAGTGCAAAATCTAGCATATGATTGAAGTACCTGCTTGCTTTGGGAGGGCACGCCAATTGCCATGGCCATGTTTTTGGATGTAGGAGACCAAGAGATGGTCTTCTTCAGGAGTCCAAGGACCCCTCTTCAGTCCCATCTTCTCGCAGCAAGGAGCTCTCACCATTGTTTCTGTTCTGCCTTTACTCGGCTTTCACAGAACGAAGCAGAGACTTCAGAGTACAGATAATATATATACAGCTAGAGGCCTAGTGTAAAAGGCTCACTGAAGAAGCTAGCATATACAGGCTTTGTGCGCGAATATGGAAGAAGCAGTTCGAGTTCAACTTCGTTTCTTACGGCCATGGTAGCTATTTATGCTCGGATAATCACCGCACGCCAATTGGGGCTTGACTAGTCAAACCAAAGAATATCCTATTTCATCGTTCAAACTGTTTAGCAGCTTCCTGGAAATTGAAAAAAAAAAATGAAAAATATCAATCAAGGATTATTGAAAAAAATTTATGTCAATCAAGAGTCAATAGTTATCAAAACAAGAATGATTATTTATTAATTTAAGTTAATCTTTTATCAATAATTATCTATTTAAGTTTTAACAACAACTTGTTATAAATTAACAACAATCCATTCAAGCTTCTTTTCATTTAAATTTTAACAATAATTAACTCTTGATTGATATAAATTTTTTTAACCGTCCTTCATTGCTATTTTCCTTTGAAAAAAACCATCCTATCTCTCTCTCATCTCTTTATTTAATTTATGTGCTTTAGAAAACTTGTGGATTTAAATTATTAGATTATTAAGTGAGGCTTAGCAATGAGAGATTCGAACATGTCCAATCTTACTGCTGAATGCGTAATGAAAACACAATTTAGCAAGCATATCCTCCTTCAGTCCCTCTCATGTTGTGCGTGCGCGCGTGTCTAAGTGTGTCTAATTTGTTTTTCATTTCAAGTCTATTATGTTGGGTTTGGGTTCCCTTTCTATGTAGAAAAATGCTTAATATTGAAACCCATTGTGAGTTTTACTAAGTAAAATAGCGAGGGGTCAAATTAGGTAATGTGAGAGAGGTCATATTTAGTCTTATGTGCAGTCGTTTGAGAGAGAACAAGAGAGAGAATCATTTTTACATATTTACAAAATAGTCTCGGTAAATTGGTCTTTATGGATTATTTCACCATTAGATCAAGCTAAATTCGGTGAGCTAGTTCACAACATCCAATGCATAATTTTCAAAGATGGGATCGTTGATTCGTTGCCTAATGTGAGAGATATTCTATTCGCACTACAGCCTCTAGTTTGGTGTTTTTTCATCTTCTTTATCCTCTTTTATAAGCCCGTTGATTTAGTATTTTGGCTAGTTGTTTGTGCTTATTTGTGCATATGAGTGAGACTCTCTTGTATCCTATTTTAATCATAGTGGAGCTGTTCTTTATTGGTCTAGACAACTCGTGGTTTTTACCCTTATATTGAGGGGTTTTTCATATTAATAATTTCTATTGTCTCTAGTCAAATTTGTGCTATTTATTTTTTTTTCATATATTTGTTTGAATTGCTCGAATGATGGAGTCGAATACAAATAAGATGATCTCTTTAAATGGCACTAATTATCATTTATGGGAGGGCAAGATGAAGTATTTGCTAAATATGCATCTTCCTATATTTGCTACTTAAAAGCCAGATTTCAAATCTAGTGAAGAATGGGATTTTGAGCATCAATAGGTATGACCACATTGCTAATGAGGCACATGCAAGAACCTTGTGGGATAAGATTGGGTCCTCGTATGCCTTTAAGTCAAGAAATAACAAATTGTATTTGATAAATTGTTTGATGAATTTGAGATATAAAGAAGGGACTTCTATTTCTGATCACTTGAATGAATTTCAAGGGCTCCTAGATCAATTGTCAAGAATGGCTATCAAGTTTGAAGATAAGATTTTAGGACCATAGCTTCTAAATACTTTGCTTGAGTCTCGGGAGACATTGTAGGTTTCTATAGCTAATTTAACTCTTAATTTTGTTATCTCCTTGCAAATTGTAAAGAACGATGCTCTTAATGAAGAGATAGGAAGGAAGGCACAGGGTTCTTCATCTCAACCTGAGGTGCTTGTCACAGAAAATAGGAGAGAAATCAGAAAAGAAAACTGAAGGGTGGTAGAGAGAAAAGCAGGAGTAAATCTAAATCTAGATACAAGAATATAGAGCGTCATTACTATCAGAAGATAGGGTATATTAAAAAGAATTGCTTTCAGTGGAAAAAGGAGAATGAGGATAAAAAGAGTAAGCAAAATGACAAAGGCCAAGATGATGATGAGCACATTACTACTACTACTAATGATGATCTTGTTCTTCTATATGATTATGACATAGTTAATCTTGTATCAAATGAGAGTATATGCATAATAGATAGTGGTGCTACACTATATGTTACATCGAAGAAGGAGCTCTTTACATCTTATACTCCTGATAACTTTGGGGTGTCAAAGATGGGTAAGGATGGCCTGTCTAAGGTGATTGGTATTGGTGATGTTTGTTTAGAAACTAATATGGGTATGAAGCTACTTCTTAGAAGAGTCAAACATGCTCTAGATGTTCGTTTTAATTTGATCTCTATTCATGCACTTGATAATGATGGTTTTGATAACTATTTTGGCTCTGAAAAGTGGAAACTCACATAAGGTAACTTGGTTGTGACTAGAGGAGAAAAATTCTCTAAATTGTATTAGACAAAACCTTATATTGCTAAAGACAATGTGAATGCTATTAATATAGAGGCATCGAATTTGTGGCACCGAAGGCTTATTCATATTAGCAAAAAAGGATTGAACTGCTTAGCCAAAAGGATGTACTTTATGGGTTGAAGAGTGCAAAATTGGAGAGATGTTCTTATTGCATGGTAGGTAAATAGACTATAGTGTCGTTTAAGAAGCATCCTCCTTCAAGAAAGTTAAATGTAACATTCCAAGTTTTAATTTCCTAATTAACTAAACCTAATTAGGTTAATTAAGTAAGTTAAGATGGTGTGTAGTCAAGGAGATCTAATAATCATATTTAATAATTTTTCAGCCCTAGTTGTGGGTCCGATATCAAGACGGGCCATCCGGGTATTAAAATGAGAAGAAAAGGAAGAGTTGATGTTGTTGTGCCACACATTAAGGCATGGAGATCATCCACCGTGGTGCACAAACGTTTCTGAATGAGGGAGGATCTCTCTGTGCCATGTGCTACAGCACATTGTGCGTCTATCGCGGCGCATAGCCATTTTCTGCAGTTTATCAAATGTGAAATGAGACAGAAATAGAGAGAAAGAAAAGAGAAAATAGAGAGGCATAGCTCTGCTAGGGTTTACTTATGGACGACATAGAGAATATTTTAAACGCTACAAATATCTAAGGTAAGTATCACACTCATTACTATCCCCATTTTTTTCACATTTATGAGTTTGTGGTTAGGGTTTGATAATAAAAGTAAAATTTTGGTCCATATAAGTTATGGGTCTAGATTTATTGATTCAAATGGAGTTAATGAGAGTATGTTAGAGTATCTAAACTTAGGTATAATAAGTTTTGGTATCTTAGGTTGTTGGGCACCATTAATATCCAAAAATCCCATTTATTATGGGTAGTTGGAAGATTGTGATACCATTAATGGAGATTTAATAGCTCATTAATATTATTGGAGATTAAAAGTAACTATTCAACCCAATAGATAGGTTCCAACTCATGTAGAGTGAATGTTGGGCAATTTAGAAGCAGAGATTGAGGATTTAAATGCTTGAGTTGGTAATGTTGATGAAATTCAACTTAGTTGATTGTAATTTTGACTCTTGGTCACCCATTGAATTGGAAATTTAAGATTGGAAGGTAGTAGATTAAAGGGTAAACCTTTGACCTCTCAAAGGTTTGAGGTAACCAGGAAAACTTTACTTTGAGTAGTTATATATTAATTGATTGTAAATTGATTTCAATTGTGAGTGTGGCATTCATGGGTTAATTTTCAATATGAAAAGCATGTGCTAGTTTTGATAAGCATATGAAAAACTGAATGTGCATAAAGTTATTTTAAATTGAAATGCAAATGCCTAATTAGGATGTTTTTGAATATAAATATGCCTATGTCTTTAGAAAAAAATGAATGTGATGATTATGTGAGATAGATGTGTGTTAATGAGAAATGAATTTGGAGAAAATGATGAGAATACAAATTTAGGTAGCGCATGGTCGTGAGCCCAACATGATTGTTGTGATAATGAGTAAACAAAAATAAAAATGTCAAAATAAGTGAGTATTGATTATGGCATGATTAGTGGTAGGAGTTCGCCTAGGGATTGGGAGTAGAGAAAATTCATATGGTATTTAAGCGACCTTCCAATACACGAGAGTATAGTCTTGTCTCACAGTTTACTGAGGGACTGTTTCATAATTTGTCAAGGAACTAGAACCTAGCTATCTCCACTGATTCAATGAGGAGAATAGCCTAGGATATGAGACATTCCAAGGATTTGAGAATGAGGGAGGCTGTGGTTCGAGAGTAAGTCTTGTGATCTCTAGTCGGGTCACATCTTACGATTAATAAGCTTGGGTAATCCAGTCATACGAATGGAGTCCTAATCAGTATTATAGCCCACGATTTTGGTCTAAGAAAATAAGAAGAAATAAGGTTGGTTGATTATTGCCTAAGTAAATATATGATATGTCACACGTGTTAAGTGATGGCAAGTCACATGAGTATGGGTCATGTCACATATATAAGAATATAGTAACAATATACCTAGTTTATGATAGATAAAGAAGTTATTTAATGATAAATGATAAATTATGATATATGTGAACTTATTTGCATACGTGGTTTCTTATGCATGTACTCGGTTTATAATTGATATATAACTTATTATAGTAGGTTTAACCTTGATTACTGAATGGCTAGACTCACCCCTTTCATTTAATACTTTTTAGGCTCTTACTATATACCTCTAGCTTAGTTTATTTTGTGTAATAGCATATATTTGCCAATTTTAGGATGCATGCTATCACACTTGCACTATTTTGTTTTCGAGAATGTTAGATTTGTATTTTAGGCCCTGAGTCTTTAGGTATGTTAATATATATTTGTTAATAGGGCTAAAATACTAATGTAAGTGTAGAAATAATGATTTGAACATGTTTTGAATAATTTGGGCACAATGCAATGATGGTTTACCTCCCCCTCTGTTTTTAGTAAAATAGGGTTAAGAAGTAAATTTTTATTATACTATTATTTTAGTGCTTGTGATGTGTTGTACTGGTGGTCCTAGGTCTATTAGATATGGTTCAAGTAT